GCCGTTCGTTTACCCCGCCCACTCCCAATCTATTGCTGCCTCCGGAGTCCCAGCTGATGGCTAGAGGAAAAAAAACTTCAAATTCTTGCCGCGGGGCTTCAAAGGGCCGCCCTATAGCCAGTGGTGCAGCCGAACCGTTTGTTAAATTGCTGGCCTGCCCCGCCCCTCCGCACCACTATTTATTGCCAATAAATAGTGGTGGGCGAGGGGCGGGCGAGCCAGCAATTTAACAAACGGTTCGGTGTTTTTTTTGTAATTTTATTGGCCCATGGAGCTTCAGCATAGGCTAATTAGCCCCTTGATTCTATCGGCCTCCCGGCTCTCAGCTGATTTGTCTCAGCTGTTTTGCTCAGGGCTCTGCTGCTTCCTTGCAAAGAGTCCTGGAGCAATTTTTTTTTCCCTTAGCTATGCTGAAACACGAAACTGAAACTGCTTTGCTGTTGCTGCAACGTTGGAAAATTAGGCAGGCAGAATTCTTTTCTTTTTCCTCACCAAAAAAGGTAGGTGCAAACAATGGGAAATTTAGGGAAAGATTTTAAAACACAAAAGAAAAAAAGCTCTATTTAACTAGGGAATTTAATAATTGAGATACTATTAATTGTATATTTCTGAAAGCAGAAATGGTTAAGTTGTGGTTTGGAGGAATATATGGGGGAAATTATTTGGTTTATTATTATTGGTAAATATAATTAATTGATTTGTAAGAAATTGGATTGCATGGAAATAATTGGAATATTCATGTTCATATTGATTAATATACAAAAAAGGTAGTTATATAACTAATTGATTTATATTAAAATGTTGAATTTATATTAAACAACTAATATTACATAATTAACCAATGTGAGGATGGATATAAAAATAGATGACAATGGGAAGGGGTATAATATAGAATAGAAGGGAAAAATTGAATTTGATTAAGATTAGAGATGAGGATGAAGGGTAATATTGGTTTTTTACAAAAATAGATGAGGAATAAATATGGCAAAAAGGAAATATAGAAATTGTAAATTTAATTGAAATGACTAAACACTGTTTAAATTTGTGAACCGGCCAAATACTCTGTTCAAAGAAAATACATTGTATGTTTGTATGTGTGTTTCTAATTATTGCTATTTATTCATATTTGTTCTCTTTTATTCTTTAAAGTTTAACAATTCATTCTTTATCTTAATATCTTTATATTTGTTTGGGGTTGGCTTTCTTCCCTTTCATCTTTTTTATTGTACAGCAATCTTTCTCCTCAAACCTACCACCTCTCTCTTTTCTTTCCTTCTTACTTTCTCTTCCTCCCCCTCTTCTTCTCCTCCCTACTTCCTCTTCCTTTCTCCTTCTCCTCCTCTCTTCCTCCCTCTCTTACCCTCCCTCCTACTCTAATTTCTCTTCCCTTCCTTCATCCCTCTCTATTGCTGTATCCTTTTGTGCATATGGACTACTCAGAGGGCTGAAAAAGTTATTTTTGACTGGTCCTCGCACTTTTGACCAGTCCTCGAACTTACGACTGTCCTCACATTTTACGTTTTTGCCCTATCTTGTCACCATGGTGAAGAGAAGCAGTTGTGAAATGAGTGACATGGTTGTTAAGAAAGCTGCACGGGATAAATGTGAGGATGGTCATAAGTGTGAGGACCGGTCAAAAGTGCGAGGCCCAGTCAGAAATGACTTTTTTCAGCCCTCTGAGTAGTCCCTATGCACATAGCCACGCCCACCCGGTCACATGACGAGCTAGCCGTGCCTACACAGTCACGTGACCAGCTAGCCACGCCCAGCCAGTCACATGATTGTCAAGCCACACCCCCAACTAAGTCACGCCCACAGAACCTGTTGTTAAAAAAATTGAATCCCACCACTGGCTATACCACCATCATCATCCAAAAATTCTACCCTGTTGACTTTGTCCTGCCTGCTGACGTTTGTCTATGAGCTATCTACAGCTAACAAGAACTTTCCCTTTCCTACTCTTGTGTGGATTACAGGTAGTCCTTGATTTAACAACAGTTCATCTAGTGACTGTTCAAAGTTACAACAGCACTGAAAAAAGTGACTTGTGACCACTTATGACTGTGGCAGCATCCCATGATCATGTGGTCAAAATTCAAACGTTTGGCAACTGACTCATATTTATGATGTCCCGGAATCCCACGATCATCTTTGGAAACCTTCTGACAAGCAAAGTCAATAGAGAAGCCAGATTCACTTAACAACCATCTTACTAACTTAACCACTGCAGTGATGCATTTAACAAATGTGGCAAGAAAAGTTGTAAAATGGGACTACACTCACTGAACAAATGTTTTCTTAGCAACATAAATTTGGAGCTCAATCGTGGTTGTAAATCAAGGACTACCTGTATTATCTCTGTCTGTCTATCTTATCTTCTTATCTATCTTATCTATCTTCTTATCTTCATTTGTACCCCTTCTTATTGGTATTGTTGTTGTTGTTGTTATTGTGTTGTTTTGTATGTACACTGAGAGCTTCTGCACAGGAGACAAATTCCTTGTGTTTCTAAACACACTTGGCTAAACAAATCATTCTATTCACTCTGCTGTTCTTCGCTCCGTTCTATTCATCTAAAGATGCCATATAAATTTAAAAGTATTTTTGGGATTGAAATAAAATTATTTGGATTTATTTGAAATGGGACTCCTCTGAAATGGTTAATTATTAAAATATTTTTTGTGTATTTTTAAAATAGTATTTTATGGGTCTTGACCTTGTTACCTTTTTATCTTCCCTGATCATCTTTCTACCACTCTGCTATTTAATTTTAAAGTGGGAACATTTTTAGTACTGTGTTTATATAAAACATTTTATTATTTTTGATACCCTTAAATAATGAGCAGCTGTTTTGTAACTTGTTAGTTAATCCTAATAAAAGTATTAAACAGCTGCTACTTCATTCTAATGTTATATTCCAGGGTAAGTAGTTTACTCTTTTAATCTCTAAATCTCTAGTCTAATCTAGCCATCCATTTAGCTACTTTGGTTTAAAGGAAAATATATAACATTAATGTTGCAATTTATTACAGTTTAAAATCAAATGTCAGATACATCTCTGAAAATTAATAGCCTTTTTAGCCTATCAAATATTCATGCTATTCTAAAGAATGGTTTCTGTGGGCAATAACTATGGCCTTTGTTAGTGTAAACAATATTAAACATTACTCTTCTTAATTTATATTATAGCTTTTATTTTTATCTTGTATTACTAGAGGCCTTTCTGCAAAAGGCACCAAGACAATGTAACAATGACGTTACAGAGGTAATTTTCTGTGGTGCATATAGGAAATGTGGCTTTCACACTTTCTGTAACAGAGTCTTGCAAGTAGCCAGTTCATTTGCTCGTATGATTTCTCTGGTACTTGTGAAAGCCATCTTGGGAGTCCTCCAGCTCTTCCCAGCAAGGAAAGGGAGAGTGGCATCTCAGCTACAATGGAAAAGGATAGCCTTGGCAATTTATGGTAGGGGGAAAAATCAGGAGGGTTCTCCTAGCAGCCTTTTCAACAACAACAACAACAAAGGATAAACTGCAGCTCACAAAAGCTTGTTTTTAGTAAACGTTACTTGGAAAAAGTACCACTGGCTTCCTCCTGATTTCTGAATTATATCAGAGGGTCTTGTAGTATTTGTGTTCAGATGTTTAGGCAGCCATCCATGTTTTCTCCACTGGGCCATCAGAGAGAGTAAGTCCCCTTCTGCCCCATTTTTAAATGCATTTTTTATAGTTTTGGAAGATTTGTCTTCTCTAAAACATTGTTATAAGTTTGTCTGTGTTTGTATGTCTGATACTCTTTTGACTATGTAAATAACATAATTCATTTGACTACATAAATCATATAATTCGTTTCCGTATACTGGAAAGGACCAAAGCAAGCTGTATCTGTTACAATTCTGATTAGCCTGCCATGTCTTCCCACAGAATACTCTATTCCTGGGTTTTTCTTTCATTTTTCTTCCTAACAGCCGGTATGTTGTGGCTATTAAATAGACAAGCCTCAATTGACTCTGATTTGGGGAACAAAGAAGCTAATGCTTTTTTTAAAAAAAATAAACACTGTATATCATACACTTCTGGAAATCTCAGGGTGTCCATAAATGTATAAATACATAATGCTTTCAAATAGATGAGGGATAAAGTAAAGATTTGCTGTTTAAAGAAAAATACTGAAAGATCATATTAGTCATAAAATATTACAATGTATCTAAAACAACTTCTTGAATTGGGTTATAGGATGAAAATCATTCTTTTCAAAGAATAGTTAAACATTCAGTGACTGCTTAGTATTACTTTTCATGCTTAAATTTTAAAACCAAATAATACATTTTAAGACACTGCATTGTAAAAACTAATGTTTACCAAACAAAATTTTTCCCGCAGTTGATCAAGTTATGATGCATGATAGTGTGCATACACAATAAAATACATTTCTATAGGATAGTACATAAAGCACACCCAAATATTAGCATTCTTTTCCTACCACAGAAATGTTTAAGAGTGAACAATTTATTACTTTTAACTTCACTGCAGGATCAAATGCCTTCAAGAAATAATATGTAGCCTAGAGTAAGATTGTCACATTTGTGTTCCTTTGTGTATTGAAGAATTAACAAGTCACTGATTCTGATCTGGGATCTACATTTTACTGCAAAAATGACCCCATATTTTCAGGTTGATTTTGGGTCCAATATGACAAAATACTCCTTTATACTAAGAATTTCTGATTATAGTCCAAAGTTACATGGCATAGACACATGATTAGCATCTCAGAACAGTTACTGCAGCCCTCAAGATTTGCTGTTCTATAGGTATGTTGTAATAGAATAGCGCTACTTATAATTATGTGGTATTTCTTTTCTGTGTTGATCAGTAACATGCATTAGCATTTGCTCTCTCCCTTTACAATTTAGTTGTAATATTCAAGGACATTGATCTGTCAATACATTCATGCCTTGACTTTTTTTTTTTCATTTATTGTGTGCTTACTTTTCACGCATAGGTGCCTTGACCCAAGCCATTCGCAATTTTGCAAAAAGCCTTGAAGGTTGGCTTTCCAATGCCATGAACAATATTCCCCAGAGAATGATTCAAACCAAGGTAAGCTAAAGAGTTACCCTTGCTTTCAAAATCATTTGCAACAAAAAAGGTGTTACAAATACTAATAATTCAACATTACCTCCTCTATTTCATTTATAAAAAGACACTACAAAAGAATCCTTTTAAAAAACGGCGTAGAATCTGCTTTTGGTTTTATATTGCCAATCTATACTGTTCTTTAAATTTTGCTGTAGAACGTTCATTTACTGATATCTAAATCACTAGTTCTCAGTCTGTGGTCCATGTGAGGCCTCACCCAGGTGGTTCATGGGAAATAAATAATGTAATAATATAATTTTTCCACTAAATATAGTGTCATATATGTAATATATTTGTGAACTGGCATAATAAACATTAGAAATACAGTAATACCTCCAGTTAGCAGACTGCTTTGAGAAAGGAGATTTTTAAAACTGTTCATTATACCTGAATCTATCTAATTAACATAATTTGTATAATTTGCCATAGATTTTTCAGATGGATTTGCCAAATGAGATTTTTCCGTTATTTGAGGGAGAAATTCAAACTGAGATTTTTGTCTTTTACATGTGAATATCTATGGAGATTCTCACTCATCCAGGTCATGGTGGTCCCCAAGGTGTTTTTTCAAAAGGTAACTGGACTTTGTTTTTTTCTTGAAGACATTTCGCTTCTCATCTAAGAAGCTTCTTCAGTTCTAATTCAGAAGTGAAAAAGCTTCTTGGATGAGAAGCAAAATATCTTCAAGGGAAACAAAAGTTCAGTTGCTCTTTGAAAAAGCACCTTTGGGACTTGCATGTGAATGGAAAGTTTTACAGTAGTTGCTCTTGTAATATAATCTCTAATCAACCAAAGACTATGTGAAAAAGGGTATTTTAAATTATGTGCTCAAGTGGTGATCTAACTGGTAAAAGCTTTTGATGTTGCTGTAGTAGTCTTTGAGAAGAGATTTGCCTCTCTAGCAAATATTTACTGAAGGATTCTAGATGGCATAAGTGCCATATTCTTTAGATTCTTTATATTTCACAGCAAACTGGCACAAGTGTGTACCACAATATTCTAAGATGGTGCTTCCTTTGTACACTTTTTGTACGATATTGTTTTTATTTACCTTGCATTATTAACATTACTGTTATCATGTGCACACATCTCCAAAAGTCATATTCTCATCAGATTTCTTTATAAGACAATATTGGCATATTTGGGTAATATTTCTCGATAAACATGATTTATTTGTAAAAGTTGCTAACCAGCACCAGCTTTATAAGAGAATAGGAGTATCAGGTCTTTTTCTTTATTTTTCGCAGGTTGCCGCTGTAAGTGCCTTTGCTCAGACTCTGCGAAGATACACATCTCTTAATCATCTGGCTCAGGCAGCCCGAGCTGTCTTGCAAAACACTTCTCAGATTAACCAGATGCTCAATGACCTCAACCGTGTTGATTTTGCCAATGTCCAGGTATGACATGACATGACATGGATGCTTTGTTTGTAATTCTTTGGTCCAGTCATTAAGGCACCAGGCTAGAAAGCGAGAGACTGGGACTTCTAGCCCCTCCTTAGGCATGAAAGCCAGCCAGGTAATTTTGGGCCAGTCATTACTCTCAGTCCCCACAGGGTTGTTGTTGTTGTGGAAGGAGATATGTTTGCTGCCTTGAGTTATTTATAAACAATAATAAAAGTGGGGTAAAAAAACCTAATACAAATTTTAAAAAGCCCTCCTTGCATTTGAATTTCAGAGATGCCAGGGAAAGTTCAGTCTAGAGCAGGTGTGTCAAACTCAAGGCCAGGGGGCCGGATCTGGCCAATGGGATGCTTAGATCTGGACCACGGGGCTGCCATGGAAACAGCGAAGGACAGGCCCGCAGTTCCTTTGCCAGTGAAAACAGAACTTGGGAGGGCTGTGTGCGGCCCTCCCGAGCTCTGTTTTTGCTGGCAGAAGGTTGCAGGAGGCCATCGCAGCCGAAAATGGATCTTGGGAGCCCATTTTCACTAGCAGAGCACTTGGGCCACCACAGGCTCCCCCTGACATGAGTGATGTTGAGCTGGCCATACCCACCCCGCCACACTACCCTGGCCCCCCAAGGTCAAACACAACCCTGATGTGGCCCTCAATGAAATCGAGTTTGATACCCCTGGTCTAGAGAAAACCTGCCACAATAATCTTTTGTTTTTGCAAGAAAAGATTCGTGAAAGATTTCTGTAGCTCATTCTCCCCCCACCCTCCCAAAAACCTACTCTGATTTTTACCTGCTGACTTGTAGACAATGAAGGGTGTTTCTTAACATCCATGATAATATATCTGTGGCCGATATCTATCTATATCTGCCAAAGCTTTAGAAAAAAAAATGTTTAGCAGCCCATTTGAAATGATCCATTTTTTTAAATACAACCCATTCAGTAAAACATTCCAATGTTCAGCAGTTCCATTTCTCCTCTTCTCCTCCTCCTGCTATTCCACCTTTGAAACCTTTTTCAATCCTTTCCGAATCAACAGAATGTTGGAAAGACATTATGTGAAGGAGCTTGGAATTGGGTCTGCCAGCCAAATTACTCTATGAAAACTAAACAAATTTAGATTGAATTTAGTGTATAGAAAGAAGCAGCTGAAAAAAAACATCAAAACTGAAAACGAATAAAATTGAGAGTAAGGATCTGTTGAGAAAACTATTTCAGAAGAAAAACCATCCTTGCATCACTATGGGATGGGTAGTTGAACTCAGAATGCTGTTCACTGCTTTGTTCTAAGACAGGAATGGGCAATTTTAAGACCTAAAAGTCACCATAGTTGCCCACCTCTGTTCTAAGCCTTCCTTCTCTTTTCAAGTCACATCACCTCCAGTGGAAGAGTTACAACCTATCCAGAGTTTCCCATTACACAGATGAATACAAGCATGCACAAGGGGAGAGCAATAACATGCAGAGTTATTTTATTATCCGGAAGAAAATTCAATGTCCTCTATCCCTTGATTTGTTCACTGAGTACTTATTCTTTTTTTTTTGTTTTACTCATTGTTTTCCCTTCTAGGCATCTTTAACTTAAATTTAAATCGGGCACTTGAAGCTCCTCTGTTAAAACTTTTTTTGAATTGGTACAGGAGCAGGCTTCCTGGGTGTGCCAGTGTGATGACAACATGGTACAACGGTTAGAAACAGATTTCAAGATGACTCTTCAGCAGCAGAGCACTCTGGAGCAGTGGGCTGCCTGGCTTGATAATGTAATGATGCAAGCACTGAAACCATATGAAGGAAGACCTAGTTTTCCTAAAGCAGCACGCCAATTTCTGTTAAAGTGGTCTTTCTACAGGTCAGTGCCCTGATTAAAGAGGTTATATTTTGTCTCAGTCCAGTAGGGTAGCGCAGTGCTTTGAGTTCAAAGGCCAAAAGGTGCTTTGAAATGCATAGAAATGGGCATGTAGCACCTGTTTGCCATTTCTTTAAACATTTCTTTTGTAAGAATCACGCAGCAGGTATGAGGTCCCGAGAAAAGACACAGCTGCTTTAAAGCATCACAGAAATACAATGTGCTTTTGAATGTATACCAACTGGATCATAGCTCTCAGCCATAAGTGATCATAGATGAGGCTGTACAACTTAGTTAATGTACCATATCGCTAATAAAAGTAATATTGGGTGGGGAGGGAAAGACGTGTCAATAAGCAGCAGTGGAGCTTGGATTTATGCATTCTTCCCTCCACTCCTTTCTTTTCTAATTAAGCCTTAGTGCGACTATATTTTCATCCTGTTCTTTGCTTAAAGTAACCCATTTCTATTGCCTCCAAAGTAAGAAGAAAGAAAGTAGGTGAAGACAACCCTAGAAGCCTGCTTCAGACAGTTTCTAATATCCTAACTTCAGGGGCTACTGCCACCGGCAGAAAACATTGAAGCATATTTTGAGTTTACAAAAATGATTTGTTACGTTTTCATTTTTAGTTGATGTTGCTTATAAGCTGAATTTGTATTTTAAAGGGAAAGGAGAGAAACAGATGTAGTCCATCAACCAATAATAAGAATGCTAGTTAAGTCCAGCTGTATATGATGAGTCATTTATATAATAATTATTAAAGTGCTGTCTAAATGTAATGCCTAATTAAGAGATAGGCAATCAAGAGGTCACATGGGGCCCTTCACCTAGGACAAGGGTAGGCAACTATGGCAACCATGTTGGCTCAAGAAGTCAACAGGTAGCAAAGTTGCCATAGTTGCTCTCCCCTAGATTCATGTAGACCTTAGTCACATTTAAAAGCCATTTAGGGAAATTAGTTTATACTTCTGGCAAGAGTTATCTGAATCTTGAGACAGAGAAAAGAGGGAATTTGAAAAGAAAAGAATGACCCTGCCCACAACTTGCCATAGCTTGGCCAGTCTTCAGCATGTAGTATAACACCCCTTTCTTTCCTGACAAGAAAACTAACTTTCCTTTTAAAAACCATTGTCCTCTCCTGGCTTAAATAATGTAATTGTTAGAATTATGTTGGATGTGTCAGAAATTTCTGGCATATTTATTGGATGATAATGTGTTTCATTTGTATTTTCATCTTGATATAGCTCAATGGTGATTCGAGATTTAACTCTGCGCAGTGCTGCTAGCTTTGGTTCTTTTCATCTGATCCGTCTGTTATATGATGAATATATGTTTTACTTAGTTGAACATCGGGTTGCTCAAGCCACAGGAGAGACACCTATTGCAGTCATGGGAGAGGTCAGTCTACAGTTGGAATCCTTTACCAGATAATTTAACATCAAAAAGGAGTAATTATCTCATTAAGTTATACTTAATTAAGTAAATGTGTTTTCTAGGAGGTAAATGTGGATCAGTTATAATTAAATTCCTTTCATCTGAGATTTAGATATAATGGATGTCATCAAGTTTCAGCTAAGTTGAATCTATATAAAGCTCATATAGAAATTCATTTTCTTTTGTTTGTACATTCTGATTATATTTATTCACACTAAATACTGGATCGAGTATTTTGCTGTTACCTTTCAGATCCTGTGTGAATTTCTAAAATCTTATGTTCATTTCTGAAATCTATGGTCCTTCTTTTTAAATTATAACCTCCCTGAATTGCCAAATATTCAAACTTTTCTCCTTGTTTTTTTTAAACGGCAGTTTGACACTCAGAGTTAAAAAATTAATTAAACCTATTTTCTTGTATTCATAGAAATAAACAACAAATAGTAATATTTTCATCCTTAGTAAGATTTTTTTTTTCTGTCACCCAATAGTTATTTTTTAATTGAAGATGATGATTAGGTTTTTTATTTTTGTTACATCACAAACTTGTTTCAAGAGAACTTGGGAAAAGGTGATGGTTCCTTTTTGAAGCACAAAGTAATAATATATCTTATATATGAAGCATCAACACATTTGACCATGTTTAATATTCCACAGCCATTAAGAATATGCAAATATTCTTTCTTCATATACTTCATTACTCTTCTTTCTGGGTCAAAATGAAGAGTGTACATTATGAAAATAAATTCAGAAGTAGGCAACACGCGTTATTTACTTTTATTCACAATATTAGGCAATACATCTAGTTTTTTGTTCACTATTTAACATTTTGTCATTCCAAAATGAGGTATGTATTTAAGTTTAGAATAGAAGGCTTTGTGGTATGTGTTACAATAGTGCACAGAATAGTTTCATGAGACTAACAGTAGAAACTCAAATAATTAGGAAAAATGATTTAGAGATTACCAAAGATGAGCCAAAGTCATTGATTTCCAACTTCAGAATGGTCTGGTTCCATTCCTGTTAGTCTCGTTTTTAAACCAGAAGCTGGATACGCATTTCAGAAGAATCAAGCCTCTTTTCAGATCTGGATTGCTTCTGTAAACCAGTGGTTCCCAACCTGTGGCCCGTGGATCCCTTGGAGGCCATGATGTTGTCACATGGGGTCCAAAAAGGCTTGAAAAAAATGCTAGCATTTAAATCTTGAGTTAAGTTTTGGTGGTCCGTGTCCATAAAAGGTATTTAAAGAGGGGGCCTGAGGTGAAGAAAAAGTTCTAAACCATTTTTAATTTGAAGGATTCGCTTCCAGAAATCCCTGAACCACCCTGGAAGGAATGGGACAATTCGCTATGGCCAACTCGTCACAGGGCAATTTATTTAATTATTTAAAATAAATAAATAAAAATATTTTATTTTTTGTTTTTCACATTTCATTTGGTCCCTATTTTTGCATCCTTTCTTTAATGATTCTATTCCATCATTTCATTAATATTAGTGTAACTCTTGTCCCGCAGCGTGTTGGCTATGGCGAGTTGTCCCATGACAAGTTGGCTGTGGCTAGTTGGCCGTAGTGAGGTGGCCATGGCAAGTTGGATGCAGCAAATTGTCATAGACACCCCTCCCCCCCCGAATGGCATAATCTGAAGGATATTGTAATTGTTCCATTTGTGAATAAAAAATAGTCATACTTCTTGGGAAACATAGTTATGATTAGATTTCACAGAGGATTTAACTGATACGGAAAATGCTAGTATAATGTATTGTATTAAAAGTTGCTATTTTGATTTTCTTCCACAGTTTGGTGATTTAAATGCTGCATCTCCTGGAAACATGGACAAAGGTTAGCATACTACAGATCTTCAACTTGATTAGGAAATTATAAATGTATTTCTTTACTATATTAATAAGCCACTCCTTGTTTTCTTAACTTATTCACTTTTTTTTGTATTTCTACTTAATCTGAAAGCTTACTTTGAAGGCTGGGAGATCTTTTTAAAAGATCTAGTGAACTATAGCGATCACTACAGTTTAACTATGTTTTATTAAGTAAACTGCAATTGACAAGGGTCTCATATAACATACTAATCCACAATCTAGTCACATTATGATTTGTATGATGCGTGAATCCAACCAGTGGGATTCTGAGGAAGAGCATCTCATACAAAGGTTCTTTCACTCGATGAAACATAGTATCCATTTAATTTATTGACAGCATGAGCAAATTTCAACTGAATTTGGTATATTAGTGGTTGTCGTCACTTAGCAACACTAATTTGGACTGGAAACTCCATTGTTAGCAATGTGGTTTGAAGTGAAAAAAAGCCATGTAATCATACTGTCTATGGAGATTCTCAGTCATCCAGGTCATGGTTGTCCCAAAGGTGCTTTTTCATAAGGCAAGTGGACTTTGTTTTTTCTTGACGTTTTGCTTCTGATTCAACTGAACTGAACTGAAGATGCTTCAAGGAAAAACAAAGTCCAGTTGCCCTTTGAAAAAGCACCTTTGGGACATGTGTTCATATTACTTAGTGATGGTGGTCCTGATCAGTGGTAAAATCCGGCCGGATTTATCCGGTTCGCGCGAACCAGTAGTGCCAGCAGCAGGAGGCTCCACACACCCGCCGGGATGTCATTACATCCCGTTTTTTACCCTTTGCACATGCGCAGAAGACTCTGCGCATGCGCAGAAAAGGTGCACATAGCGCGCACGCTCTCCCATTCCCGAACCAGTAGTGAAGGTAAGTGAATTTCATCGCTGGTCCTGATTGCTGTCATTGAGCAAGGACTTCACATGAGCCCCTCTGACTCCCTGCTAGCTTTCCCATTAACTTTGCTTGCGGGGAGCCAGCATGGAAGATTGAAAATTGCAATCTTGTGATTATGGGGATGCTGTGTTGACCATAAGTACAAGGTCCAATTGTAATCATCAGTCGTTCAGAGCCATTGTATGTTGAGACACTTACTGAATGGTCATTAAATGAGGACCATTTTGAACTTGTGCACTGGTTCAAGTCCTAGTGATCCATTATGGAAATAAGGTAACAGTCTCCACTGAAGTAGTTACAAAACATGGTAAAAAATTGGGTTCATTAGGATTCATTTTCGCACAAGACGTGATTTCTGGTCACAGAAAGGAGATTGCTTCCTTTACTTGCAGTCCCCATAGTAGAAATAAAGGTGGGAGCTTAAGATGCTGCCGGGGAATAAGCATTCATCTACAAATACAAGGACTGACTAATTAATAAGGAGAAAGCTGGAGAGTGCACATATGTAATTTACCTAGGATTGGATTTGGACACAGAGACTATCCAATTTAAGTAACTTGACACTTTGCTACGGTTGTTAAGTCTTTCTATCTCATTGTAACATGACTCTTTCAGATTGCAGGATTCATGGTGATTTTATTTGTGCAGATGAAGGCAGTGAAGTTGAAAGTGAAATAGATGAAGAGCTGGATGACTCTGGAGAGCCACAAGCCAAGCGAGAGAAGACTGAAATTAGCCAGGCCTTTCAGGTGGGCTGCCTGCAGCCGGTACTCGAGACTGGAGTACAGCAGAACCTTTTGAACCCTCTTCACAATGAGCACATTGTCACAGCTACTCAAACGATCAGACAGTGTAGTGCGACTGGAAATACATATACTGCGGTCTAACAAATATTTAAAGTTCTTTTTTCAGATTGTATTAGCCCTCTTGATGTTGGGCATATCATAGGGGACGGAAGGGATGCAAAAAAAAAAAAAGATTTCTGAAAGTCGACTATTGTCAAATTTTATCTGTACTTTTGCTGGAGTTGTGAAATGGAATGGGTCTATGTATTTGGTCAGATTTGGGGGGGGGAAGGTAAATACAATCATTTTACACTGGCCGCTTAATATAAAAAATTTTCTTAGTTTCAAAAGTCAAGAAGCATTTTTGCGAAGATTAATGTTAATGTTTTTTGTCCTCTTTATAATTAAAAGTAATTTAATTTTTTCATAGTTTTTACAAAATATTTTAATGTTAACTGTTAGTCATGGTGATTTCGTATAAATAGGGTTTTTAATTAATTGCACTCTGAAATATCAAGAATTTTCCTCTTTGATTTACACTGGAGGCACGCTCGTTTGATAGCAGCTGCGTTAGAATTATTATTAAAAGGCAGCTTTTGTTGGAGAAAACTGGAAAATAACTATTTTGATACATTTCAGAGTGCTCAACAGATATATTGGAAGATTTATTATAATTCTAGAGAACATAGATTGTCTTCTTTCTCAGAGGAAGAGTGGTTCTCACTGTTTGCAGGATAAATGAGAGCTCTGATAGCACATGGTAATGTGTACTTAATAAAGGTACAGATGACACCATTATGGACAATTCAAGCTTCCTTAAATCAGTTTCAAATTTTGGGATACTAGCTCCTCTCTCATAAGACTACTGATTTCAGGTACATTCTGCCCAAAAACTGACTCTGTGCAACCTCCATTCGTTTTAATTAGAGTTTTACAAGATTTGAATTAAGGCATCTTTGATTTCCAGTGAGAACACGATCATCTTTAAACGAGTGGAGGTCATGTTACAGAAGCATTTGCTGGGTTCTGCACCTCATATACATATGGGACCACTACCCAGATGCTTTCTGCTCTTCAGTGGGGAGGTTGGCTACTGAAGTTTTTTTTAAAAAGCATCTTGATTCCTTCTTTAAGTGTACGTGCTACTTATGCTGAACTGGACATGCAGGAAACCATTCCTTTCAGATGACTTTTTAATTCTATGTCCTTTTCCTCATGATAGTTCAACCTGCTGCTCTTGTTAAAGATAGTTTATAGGATGCAAGGAATGTAGCAACCTGCATTGTAATTTTGCTCAGAATAATTCCTGGTTCTTAAGTGGATTTCATTTTATATAAAATGTTTTAAAGGCAGTGAAACTGGCACATGTCACTTGTACTTATTTCCCAATTGCGTAGAATTTGAATAGGTGGCTAGATGGACCATTGCCATTTAAGAATGTACATCAGGGATCATTGTACCTCGGCTATTACATGGTGCCTTAAACAGAACTGAAGCTAAGATTTTCTTGTTAATAACTCTTACATTGATTCAACAAAGTGTGCCTGTCTTCTTTCTTTCTTCTTTCTTCCCCTCTTTCCTTCAGATTCCCTAAACAGTAAGGGCAGGTTACATACTTCAGATATCAAGATTTTTTTTTTAAAGAAAATTAGATATACTATCCCTCTTAGAGTGACAGCCTTTTTCTTTCTTATTTATAGCTGAACTTCACTTTATTACTAATCAGATTTTCTGGGGTGGGGTGGGATTGGGGGAAAACGGTGGAAAACAAACTAGCTTTAACAGTGTCAAAGGTCAACAGAATAGATTAGCTAATTCCCAGACAAGAATTTATATACTTATATATAAATATATATGCATATATATATATTTCTAAACCCTTATCTACTTTTAATTTCAAAAAGTAACGTAAGCAACGTTTTTAAAAAAGCAGCGTATAGTTTCAATAGTGCATATGGTGATGGGGGGGTCAGTCTGCTATTTTATTTAATGGTTCATTCATAGTATATGTTGTTTCCCTTTTATTCTCATGAAGCTGTTCTAGTTAGAATGCATTACACATTTTATTGGTTTAAAAGACATGTGAATTTCCTTAGTTTGACCAAAACAAACCAAAAATGAAGGAAAGCACAAAGAAGATTTACAGGTTTTATAGCAAGACCTATATAAAATATTAGCGTCTTGTTTATTGTTTGTTTGAAAGACAATTTTCAAGATTATCACCAAATGCTTCAACAGCAGGTGGAATTTTTGGTATATTTTTAGTACACAGGTTGCATCCTTGATTTTACAGATATCAAGAATACCTAAAGATTTACTAATTTTTTTTATTTGACTATTTCTACTTCAAAACTAAGCTTTAAGAATTGCTTAGAATTGCAAAATTGGGCCGAACTAGGTATTGTGCCTAGTAATTCCTGCCATTTGGTTAAACATGCTGATATATTTCATTATAATTTTGTTCTTTCTGCTATTGGAATATGTTCTTATTTTTTCCCATTAAATCCATCACACCTACACCCCTCACCAATTTTTTAAAAACTAAGCTGTGATAGTTCCTCCCTCTCATTGTGCATTATGAAATGTTTACACTTAAATACAGTAAAATTAAATGTAGAAACAAAGAAACACTTTTCAGCATCTTTTTTTGAGAGTCTATTAAAGTTCTATGTTAAATATGATTTATTTACTGGTACTATCCTTCCTGGATGACAAACTTGTGTTTCTGTATTACTGTCTTCTTTTGTCCTGAATACTGGATTTTGTTCATGCAGAAAAATGAAAATGATGCAAATTTACTTTTCTGAGAGAGACAGGGCTGTAAATTTTTATGATACATTTTCCAGACCACTCCCCTTCCAGTTGATCACTGTATTCAATGTGCCAAAAAGATTGATATTTATTGTTATCTAACATCATATCCTGGAATTCTGGTCTGTTGTGGACCATACAAATAATGAAATTTCACAACCTGTCAGTGTCCAGAATATATTCCAAAATGCTCCAATAAGTCATCAACACAGATAACAAAAAGCATTAGAAGAGCTTCTATTAATCATGAATCAGAATAATCATTGTTCATGTGCATCTTTGTCCCTGAATAATTTTTTTATATTTTTATGTCTAGTAGGAATTATAAATCAAATGGCCAACTGACTTGCATTATCTTCAGAAGCTCTTCAGTATAAACCGGCTCACTTTAGATAGCATTCTGACACTGTACTACTTGTGCCTATATGTTATATACATTTTTCAAAATGAAATGTATGAGGGCTGGGATTCAGATAATCCCACGCAAATGCCCTAGTGTTCTGTGCAAATACCAGGGCTTCCCCAAATTTCTCTTCTAGTTGCAGCTTCTTTGTACTTGATATGCCATGCCATACATTTTTCACTGAAGGTTCCATAAATGGTTTCACATTATGCCATGAATCCAGTATGATCGTAATAATCAAGGAGTATGTACTCATCAAAAAAAATATATATTGAGGAATAGCTTAATTGAAGCACTTTGGGGAACATTGCAAGAAAATGAACTAATAACATTTGAGAACAATTTGTCTAAAAAAGTTTTAAATACTATTTTTTTTAATTAATTAAGACTTTTTGGCTCTTGAACAAGTAATGCAGTGATCAATACTGATGATTCTATTGAAAATTCGTATTCAGAAACGGGGCCCAGTTTTCATAATCTCTTCAGGAATGCAAAATCTTTGGTGCTGTCACCTTAATCTGTTTTTGTCCTGTCCTGCATTTTTTTTCTTTGTGCTTATTTTTTGTATTATAACATGTAATTATAACACTACTTTAGAAATCATTTATCCATTAAAAAAAATTCTACAGTACTGCTGTGCAATGTTACCATATTTGGTTCACAATGGATGATAGCAATTGAAATAGTACTGAGGATGTGTAGGTCTACATATAATTTCTTTAATTTAAAAACGAGGTATTCACAAACGTTAGAAACACTTTTTTCAAATGATTTCTCAGCAAAATATTAAATCATTTCATAGATTTGACAGGCCAAATAACACTATGTAACACTTTGAGAACACTTAATGCTGATTTGTGAAAGCAGTACCAGTTTCTGAAAACTGGGCCCTCATTCCTGCATTACAGGTCAGTCTCTGTGTATATGGTTTAAAGGAAAAGGAATTCTAGTATTGTTGCTAGGTTATTTGTTTAGTGACTAAAAAAAACTGGAACAGAAGCATAAATTCAGTGCTTAGTTCTAGTATTAGAGCATTCTTTTGATGATAATGCCTTGAATTAACCCTTTGAGCATTGTAAGTAAATATAATTGATGTGAATCTCTAAGAGTCTTGAGATCATATGAGCGCACAATGCCCACTCCCCAGAACAGTATATATATATATCTGATTTTCAAAAAACCCCAAGGATTTGTACTTCACCCAGAGACCACTGACTACCTCCCCTTCCATAAAATAACATAATTTTTTTCCCTGTATAATCTGAATGTAAATGTGAACCATCCTAGGCATTATCTATTAAGGATTCCTGTGTTTTGATTTTCTTGCAAACACTCAACATTAAACACTTTGAGGTAGGCATCTGAGTTTAATTTATTCACTGCCGTTTTACCAGGAGTAGGGAACAAATGATTGTTCACAGGTAGCTGAACCATAATATCTGACATCCCTCACCATTGGCCTGGATGACCAATGCGTGGGAGCTGTTGTGCAGCAACATCTGGGAGCCCAAAGGATTCCTTTCCCTAATATGTACTGCCTACAGAAGCAAGTATTTCTATCGTTATAGGTTTTTTGATCGAAGATGTTGGCTTTGGAAACATTTCACAATTAAATGTTTGTTTAAAAAATTATTTCCAGGTAGTTGAGAAATCATTAGTTAGTGTCAAAAGATGTAAATATAACCTGTATGTCAAAGACTTGAACTTTGGAGTTAATACATTGTTATCTATTACCATCCATTGGATGTTGCCAAGGACTGCAGTCTAAAGGATGTGTATGTATCCATAGTCACAAAATTGTCTGGACTTGGAAGTGTATTGAATACGCTATTGCAAAACTCTTTGCAACTGAAAGGCAAGTTGTATCTTGCCTTTCAAATGGCACGAGAACCTCTAGTGAGGTTCTCGTGCTATTTGTGTGTACGCAGACAGGCTTACCACTACACATGCAACTATGTAGAATCGTACTTTTATTTTAGCACATTATACCACTTCCAAGTTTATTATTGAACATAGACAAGGGTATTTTTATGGAATTCCAGATTTAAGACAGTGTTTGGGTTAAAATAAGCCACAAGTGATATAGCAGTGGATTTTTAAAACATATAAGAATTAGGCCTACATCAAACCATTTTCTAGATCAGATTTGGAGCCAACCAAGACAGACATTGCCTACAAGTTATGTATGCTACCCCAAATCAGGCTGAACAAAACTTCTGGTTTTGCTGCCTGTCCAGGATTACTGCAGTTGTGTAAATTGACAAGTTGCAGCTCCTAGCTCACAGCTGTGCATTTCATTTGGTGAGTCTCAAGTTGTGTAAGTTTAGAATGCAGATGCTATAGTGCAGCATTCAAGTGCATTGATCCCAAGCAGTTATCAGTAAATAATCCATGCTCCCGCTATGTTTATTTTAAAGACACTGGACATTAGTTCAATGCAAAGACAAAAAAATAAAAAAAGCCAGCCTTTCTTTTGTTTCAAGCTCTTCAAATTAATGTACAATGAAACATAAATGCAATACTCAAAGGGTTTATGAATTTATTCCTAATGATTTTCTGTAAATGCTTCTCAGTTTGCATGCATTGATCATTGCTGCTAGTGATTCTGTGTGCCAGTAGAACTAAGTTTACGTTTTACTAAACTATTTTACTAAATAGTTAGAAGCCACTTTCAAAGTGACTACCTAGGGTCTTTTGGCAGAAATAACATACCTTGTTTTTAAAGAATTTTTGTCTACAATTTTATTTGCTTTTTTAGCTTTCTTTTTCTTTTGTTTACTAAATTACGTTGAGATTAGAAGCCCTGAGTAATAATTGGTAAGGATGGCTCATTTAAATTAATAATTTATCATAAAACACACCAATATACATGGTTGATTACAAACCTTGCATACCCCCGTAGCCTCTTTCAACTTGTTTAAGAACTGCTGCTGAGCAGCTTTCTATTTTAAAAAATTATATCTGGAGAAAATTATTACAAATTACACAAGAGTACTTTTAGGGTGCTCACTGTAGCTTTTTGAAGTCGAGGAAATGAATCTGTTGTAATCATAATAGGATCTGGATGTGGTAACTGTGTGATTTGCTGTTCAATTGACAGACCAGCATGACTTGCAGGAATAAACTCTGTATCAAATGTTAAGTTTGCCTGATTAATCCACAGACCCCAATTGGACTTCATCTTTGCATAATTAGTGAATCCCCCTTTATGATCAGGTTACCAAAAAAAAAAAAAAAAGGCATCTATGTAGGTACTATTTAAATAGCAAATCCTCAAATTTTTTACCATAAAAATGCCCCTGCATAGTCTATAATAGAGTATTATTAATAATAATAATAATAATAAAGCACAGAGAAATTGTTCTAGACCTTTAAATCAGGAAACTGAAATGCAGGTTTAATTTCGACTTTATAGGAAAGAGTATATTTACTGGAAGTGAAAGTTGCCTGTTTACAAAACTCCAGGTAGCTTGAGAATTTTATATTTAGATCTAGATTGGAGTACACATCTGAAATTCAAACAACAGTATACAAAATATTTTCAACTTTGAATATGAAAAACAAATTAATGAAAGCAGGCTTCTCCCTTAAACCTTAAAAAGTATAGATTCTCCATTAGAAATCTGATTTTTTTTTTTTTGGAAAATTAACTAGTGAGGGTATAAAACTAAAAAAAAAAAAACTTTTGTGTGCCTTTGTAAAAACCTGGGAAGTTTGTGCCTATTTAATTGGTTAATTTTAGTTCTTACCAATCAATAACCTTACTATCACTCAGGGCTCTCTTATTTTAATAGTTCTTTTTTTGTGTTTCTTTTATATTTACTTTTCTTCTTTTTTTCCCCTGGGTGGATTAATTACCATCATTTATTTTGTTAAGTGGAAGATTATCCTTTTCAGTCCCACAAGCACAGAAATGCAGGAAACACTAGTAGAACTTATTGGATCTTTTTATTTTTAAATTGACTGGATATATAATGTAAATGAGGTAAGCAACTTTTTTGTAGATTGTATGTGTGAGATAATGTAATGTTCTTTTCCAGTTTTTGGATTACAGTTGAATATACTTTTTAATTATTTAAAGAAAACATCTTTACAGAATAACGTGATGGGTTTTGTATAATGTATTGATTCTGTAAATACGTATTTCCTGATGTGATTTTTGTGAAAATGCTAAATCTTTTAGTATATCATGTCCTCTCAAAATTGGCAAGAGCTAAATAATAGTTTGTGGGCAATTTGTATTGTGTACTGTACAATAACTGGGGAACTTTTATAATTATAAAAATATATATTAACTTTTAGTGTGTTGTTTAAACAAATGACTGGAACATACTAAAGATAGTAGGATTTTTCTGAATATTTCAGACTTGAACTCAGGCTAGCTTTCTTGTGTTTTTCAAAACAAAATTGTGTCTTGTCTTTTAAAATCAATAAATTTGTTTTCTTGTTACAAAAATATTTGAAATGTTTCCATTTTTAAACAATAGATTACAGAAGAAAGTGTAAGTCTCTGATACAGATACATGGTGTATTTTCTCACAGTTGATTTCTAAGAAAAGAGCAGCTATTTTAAACTGAACAGCACGATATGATTTGCGTCAGTCCACATAAAGCATGCACAATATTTAAAAGTTTATTCTTTCCGAATTGAACATTTGGAAATCCAATTGCATGTATACTTTGAAATATAGGGAGCTGTATTGCCTAAATCAATTCTCACACTTATTAATAATATGCCCTGGTTCAAGGAGCCAAAAGTAGAACAAGAAGTATTCTTTGAAGGAGAATCACTGTTCTTTTCTAAGAATAGTGCTGTCAACCTATGATATAGGTAGAACCCTTTTCACTGTTCCCAGAAGGAGATATGATCAGGGAGCAGGATTTATCTGTCTGGTTCACATTATTGACATTTTGTGTGAAACCATAGTATTATCACTGTAGATAAAGGAAACAAGCCACCAAGAACTGGGCAATTAATTTTTGCAGGATTTGGAATGTCCCTCCTAAGGAGCCGTGGTGGCGCAATGATTAGAATGCAGTACTGCAGGTTACTTCTGCTGACTGTCGGCCATCAGCAGTTTGGCAGTTTGATTCTCACCAGCTCATGGTTGACTCAGCCTTCCACAGGGGTGAAATCTAAAATTTGTTACTACAGGTTCTGTGGGCGTGGCTTGGTGGGGGGTAATGTGACTGGATTGGCGTGGCCAACTTTTTTTTTTTTTAACTTTTAAAAGCATTTTTTCTACAACCTCTTCGGCCGAAGAGGTTGCAGAAAAAAATGCTTTTAGAAGCCTCTGATGATAAGGCAACTCAGCTGGGATCGCCAGAGGCTTTTAAAGGCATTTTTTTCCCTACAACCTCTTTGGCCGAAGAGGTTGTAGAAAAAATGCTTTTAAAAGCCTTTGATGATCCCAGTTGAGCCGCGTGATCATCAGAGGCTTTTTTTTTAACTTTTAAAAGCATTTTTTTGGCTGAAGAGGTTGTAGAAAAAATGCTTTTAAAAGTAAAAAAAACAGCCTCTCATGATCGCACGGCATGGGGGGGCACAGGGATTTTTGCTACCGGTTCTCCGAACCACCCGCTGCCATCGCTATTGGATCGGGCGATCTGGTCCGAACCGGGAGCATTTCACCCCTGGCCTTCCATCCTTCCAAGGTCGGTAAAATGAGGACCCAGAGTGTTCGGGGCAATAGGCTGACTCTGTAAACCGCTTAGAACAGGGCTGTAAGGCACAGTGAAGCGGTGTATACCAGTAAATCTTAAGTGCTACATTCTAAATTACAGATTAAAATGAAAACAATGGCTTTATGTTTTTACTAAAGCAATTTAAAATTAATAAAATTAAAATTAATAAAATAATAGCTTGTATCTTCCAAAGGAGAACTGCTAATTCTCCATAAGGCATTGGGTCCAACTGACTTATTACTAAACTCATTTAATTTACTGCTTAGCATCATCTTTGAGTAACATATTTGGATGAATTTTTTTTTCTTACACTTTCCTTCCCTTTCCCTTTTTTTCTATTTTCCTTAACAGCCAACCAAAACAAAAATTGGCAAATTTGAAAGTTTAACATTTCTTTGTGATTTTTTGGGGTAGTTTTTTTATCAGAATTACACTGTTATGTTGTTGGATTTATGCTGTGACTTCCTGTAATTAATACTGTTAATTGCATGTATTTTCACACCATAACACTTACAAAGATACATAAATATCACAAAAGTAATTAAGGGAAGCACTTGCTATGGATGGCTTGGTGATTATTTAAATGTGACTGAATTTAACTATGTTCACTTTCAACGATTTTTTTTTAAGGTTAGTTACCTAACACTAAAATCTAAGTTAATAACAAACTCTTGACAATTTAATTCTAGCTAAATCTCTATTGATAGCCATGTTGGGGACCAATTAAGGCACCATGCTAGAAACCAGGAAGTCCATAAAACGTAGTTTCATCTTTGACATAACACCAGTCGTGTGATTTTGGGCCAATTACTCTCTCTCAGCCCTAGGAAGGAGACAGTGGCAAATCACTTCTAAAATCTTGCCAAGAAAATGGCAGGGATTTGTCGAGGCAATATAGATATATAGATATATAGATATAGATATATATTGATATATATATAAAACCACTACCTAAACTAACTCTATGGAACGTAATCCAAAATATTAGATGTAAAATGCAAGTGAGAAATGTAAACTGCAGTTTCTATGGATGGGCATGGATGTTTCATAATAGCATCACTTTGATGTACATTTGCCTAAAAACTGAATCAGATTCTTTGTTACGTTCATATGCACTCCTTTTTCTTACTGTTGCATTAGCAGCATTTAGTCAGCTTTGAATGATCTCTAAACAATAAGCAAGATTAGACCCACTAGTATTTGGAGTGGAAATCATGGGGAAGTTCCAGAGCTCTAGATAAGACTTTGTGTGTGTGTGTGTGTGTGTGTGTGTGTGTGTGTGTGTGTGTGTATATGCATATATATATATATATATATATATATATATATATATATATATTTTGCATATATATATGCAAAAAATTAAAATCTCGGGTGTTTTCCCCGTCATTATAAATAAGTTGGTTAAAATATTTAAAATCCTGGTTAAAATCCCAGCTTAAAATCTTCTAAAAATCCTTACAGAGCACTCTGCAAGGTCCTTTAAAACCTCAGCTAAAATCCTACCAGTGACTTTAAAAGTTTTTCTTAAAGCAACGTTTCAACAGGCCCACAACCCTGTCATCTCAGGCTCTGTTTCATGTAGAAGCTATGGGTTCTCAGCTCCGGCCCCGCAACAGAGAACCCATAGCTTCTACATGAAACAGAGCCTGAAGATGACAGGGTTGTGGGCCTGTCGAAACGTTGCTTTAAGAAAAACTTTTAAAGTCACTGGTAGGATTTTAACTGAGGTTTTAAAGGACCTTGCAGAGTGCTCTGTAAGGATTTTTAGAAGATTTTAAGCTGGGATTTTAACCAGGATTTTAAATATTTTAACCAACTTATTTATAATGACGCGGGAAAACACCCGAGATTTTAATTTTTTGCATATGCACACCTGCGAAAACTTAAGAAGACATAGATAGATAGATAGATAGATAGATAGATAGATAGATAGATAGATAGATAGATATGTACTGTATGTATGTATGTATGCATATCAGTGGTGGGATTCAATTTTATTGAAAAATTTTATTTTTTTAAAACATAAACATAAAATACATCTTTTTAGAATGAAGCATTGATCCGGTCATAAATTGGTACAATCACAAATTTATCTTTAACAACGAGTCATCTCCACTAATCATCATCTTATAAAAATAATAAAAAAAATAAAACAGAGAAAAAAAAATCTCACAATAACTCGCTCAAAACAATTATCTTTCTATTTTTTCACCTCAGATCTTAATTCCCAAATAACACAACTTAATGTTTTACACAATTTTCCCCCTAAATTCTATCTATTTTATAATACCATTATTCAAGAACCCGTTATTTAAACCTTTAAATCCTAACTCAATATCATTTCATTATCTTTTCTTTTTATTTAGATGAATGTATCTTAAAAATATAAATCATTACTATTATCATAAACAATATCTTAACTATCACTCACAACAAATCATCTTCATTACTGTTTATCTTAACATAATCATCCTAATTTTACTAGTAATCACAACATAATCATCTTTAATTGTTTATCACAGCACATCATCTTCATCTTAATCCTCATCTTTTATTTTTAATCCCAACGTAATCATTTCTATTTTTACAGTTGAACCCAGCATAATCATTTATTTTTACTGTTATTCCCAGCAAGATCATCCTTATTTTTACTGTTAAACCCAGTATAATCATTTTTGTTTTTGCTGTCAGTCCCAGCGTAATCATCTAAATTTTACGGTTAAACCCAGTATAATCATTTTTGTTTTTGCTGTCAATCCCAGCATAATCATCTAAATTTTACTGTTAAACCAGTATAATCATTTTTAATCTCAACATAAACTTCTTTAATTTTACTGTTATACCCATTATAATCACCTTATTTTACTATCCATCCCAACATAATTATCTTTATTTTTACTGTTATACCCAGTATAATCATCTTTACTTTTGCTGTCAATCCCAGCATCATCACCATAATTTACTGCTTGTCCCAACATAATCACTTTTTTATTTTATAATCCATCTATACATTATTTAATCATATTCAATCGCATTATCATTATCATCTTTGTAACAATTTAACAATGAGACTTAGTTCTTACACCAAACACATCCTTATATGAGTTAATAAATTTCTGTTAGCATATTCTATTCCTCTCATATTCTAATTTCCCTCTTTATTTCAATTTTTAAAATATATATCTATAACAAATTCTTCTTATATTCATATTTATTCTTATTCATCTATAAAAACCTCCTTTTTATTATTACTTTCCATCTATACATTGCTTTTTCATTTTTAATCACATTATTTTTATCTTCTTTTTTCCCAGCCGTGTGTATCTTGTTCCTCATTTCCTTGTCTGTTAGCATATATTTAATTTCAATTTCAAAGTTTGCAATTTTAATTCTCCATATATCAGTTTAGTTCTTTTTCTTACTTCTATTTCAAGCAAATTACATCAATTTTCTTCTTTTGTTCCTGCGCCAATTAATACCAATTATAGGAGTTCCGTTATATTTTCCCTTTCTTTTCGCCAAAGTCAAGCTGCTTGCAGACAAAGAAAAAACACCTCCATCGCCAAAGTCCCACGGTTATTATCTGTAAAATTCACAATGTTCCCAATCAAAAAGCAAATTACAATATTTCTTTTTGAAACAGAAGGTGTCTCTCTGCAATCCACAATTTCCATTAGTCACGCAAGTAACCATTTTGTTTCAATTATTTAACGTTCCTGCTTGATTCTTTCCTTCTTCTGTGTTTTGAAAATAATAATTCTTTTTTCT